TCATGAAGCTGAACGTTATGCTGATGCAGATCGTGAAAAGAAAGAATCTATTGAAGCACTTAATCGTGCTGACTCCGTGGTTAGCGATATAGAGAAGAGTATGGCCGAATTCAAAGATCAATTAGATTCATCGGAAGCTGAAAATATCAAATCACAGATTCAATCAGTGCGTGACTTGACGACTAAAGCGCAAGGCGGTGAAGATGTTAAAGCAGAGGATATTAATGCTAAGATTTCTGAATTGCAAACTAGTAGCCTGAAATTGTTTGAAATGGCATATAAGAAGGTAAGACTCGTAGTTATATTCGGTTATAACACTTCATGAAAGTTATTAATTTCCTATAATTTTTTTTTTTTCCTTTAATTAGCGAAGTGCAGAAAATCCGCAACCAGACTCTACAGAAGAGAATAAAGATGATAAAGGTGACAAAGAACAGTAAAATAATGTAATAATTAAATTGTTTTATATAAAAATAAAAATCGTTATTTTTAAAAATTTTATCGTGTTATAATATATAGTTTTTTTATCAATTTGATATTTATAATTTTAATTATATTAATAAAATTTAACAATTTTGAAGTATTTATGCGATAAAAATAAAGTTAGTATTAAAATTAATACAAATTTATAATATAAAATTATTAGATATATAAATTCAAGAAATCAAAAAAAATAAATTTGTTTACAAAGTTTCAATAAAAAAACTCTTGAAATTATTAAAACATATACAAAAAAAAAAGAAACTAAGTTCAAAAAATATATACAAAAAGAGTTTAAATAAATAATTTAGTTAAGAAAACTTTAAGTAGTTTAATTATGTAAAGATACAACACATATTACATAATTACAAATAAAAAAAAATTGAAAAATAGCTCTAGAAACTTTATTATCTTTAACAACTGTTAACAATATTAGCAACACAAAATATAAAAAGTAATCAATACAATAACTAGTTTATTATATCTTTATTTATTGATTTTATAACTACAAATTCTTGAACAAGTTATAATACAAAAAAAATTAAAACAAATTATTTTTTTTTTATTACAACTAAATAAAATTTTATATTAAAGAATTCTGTACAAGTAAGTAAATTACTTTTATTAATACAAATAATAATAATAAAAAAGTATTATTTATTAGCTAATTTTTTATAAATAGTAAAATTTTTTATTTTTTATTTTTGGTTTTAAGGTAAGGCCTATAGATGTCACCAAAATTGATTTTTAAAAAAGGTCTATTTTGTCTTCATTAAAGCAAATTAAATTTTTTTTATAAAAAAGAGCAAATAATATTTATATATTTATGCTTCTTATAATTTTGCCTATTTAAAAAAAATATTAAAAAATTTCATCTTTTAAGCAAAATAGATCAAAAACAATTTTGACCTTAAATTTTAATTTTAGATTTTAGAACCTGAAATAATTTTATTAACATGTATAGTAAGACCTTGCTTGTATCTTTATTTATTTTTTTTTTTTTTGTACTAATTCAGCAGTCATGCCTTAACTTTATTAGGCTTGTAATAATCCTCTAGACTATTAAAAATTTTAGAGAGACT